TTATCCAATTGTCTGGTGATTATGTGGAAAAGTGAATATTGGTAGTTAAAAAGCACAGTCTAAGGATTATTTCTGCGTTTGATTTATAAAAATATTCCCATCCAAACCCAAGTAACGAAGGTGGAGGCATTACTTTTCATTCAACCCTCAAAAATCCTATATATATGAACCAACCAATATAAGAAGGAAGAAGATCAAAGGGAGAGAAATGGGAAGTTAATATGTGCTAGTATATAAGAGAGTAGGATTTTTTTTAAATGAAAGTGTAGAAGAAGTAGAGCATTCCTCCCACTCCACCAACCTATTTTGAAATGTCATAATACCCAAAAAGAAGACTGTACAATTTTCAAAACAAAGAGCAGAAGAAAATCCAATAGAAACTAGATCATCAACTACAAGTGACTTAAAACAACAGTTCAGACTCTGGGGCCTGAAAGGGATTTCTAAAAATTAGCAAGGAGACCTTATAAAAGAAAAACAGGCAGCTGCCACGCTATTATCATGTATACATTCTATAGATCTCTGAAGTCCATGAGAGGGAAGTCAAATTCAGTTTGACTTTCCTTCGAATGGATGTTATGACTTTTGCTAATAAAAAGCTTCACAACAGAATCAGTGCAAAAGGACATTATCTGAAAATAAGATAATTTAAGATAAGATAATTTAAAATAAGATAATGACTTGTCCAAGCTAAAGCACATAGACATTATCCTGTCATGGATTGCATCTCCGCTGCATTTAGGATGTATGTGCATTGCAGAATCAATGCAGTTTGACACCACTTGAACTGCTGTGGAGCAACACTATGGAACCATAGGTTGCTCCACAGGGTGGTGGGGTGCCAACAATCTTCAGCAGAGAAGGTTAAAGACCTTGTAATGCTTCCATAGCATTCAACTTTGCCAGTTAAAGTGATGTTGATCTGCATTCCAGTACAGATTTTTTTTTTTTGGTCGTGTCAGGAGTGACCTGAGAAACTGCAAGTTGCTTCTGGTGTTGCCCAGGGGACGCCTGGATGTTTTGATGTTTTATCATCCTTGTGGGAGGCTTCTCTCATGTCCCCGCATGAGGAGCTGGAGCTGATAGAGGGAGCTCATCCGCCTCTCCCCAGATTCGAACCTGCGACCTGGCGGTCTTCAGTCCTGCCAGCACAGGGGTTTAACCCACTGCACTACCGGGGGCTCTTCCAGTACAGATGCACCCATTGAGATCAATAAAGAGAAACTAGAGCACCTCCTATTCTTCTTTAAAAAATGCACAGAGATTGCCATAGTAATGCAGACCTACTAAGATGCAGAGACATGAGAGAAGCCTCCCATAGGATGGTAATACATTTGGGTGTCCCCTAAGCAACATCCCTGCAGACAGCCGATTCTCTCACACCAGAAGCAACTCCAATTCACTTCTGACATGATTAAAAAAAACTAAGATGTAAGGTCATAATTTCATTTTTTTAAAAAAACAAAAAAACCCTTAATTATAAATGAGGCATCTCTGCCATAAGGAAATTAGCCAACTTTGCTGTATCACACAAGGGTAGCAAATTGCTAGTTATTTATTTTCTTTTTACTGCCAAGGAAAAGAAGGAGCATTTAAGGGATTTTCTTCCTCCAATAACAAAATAACTTTATTGGCTTTGGGCAGGATGATCTGAATAGGGGAATGTGTGCCATTTGTTGCCCCAGTACAAGCAGCAAAATGTTTTGCGGTGTCCCTGATTAAGAGATCAAGTTATTCTAACATTGAGTATGTGTTTATGAACAAACAAAACTTACGTTTTCACAAGACTTTGTTGCTTGAGTCTAAAATGACTTTTTAAAAAGTATCATCAGGTCTCAAAACTTTTTAAAGAAACAACTTACTTAGATTGCACATATTCCACTTCTTTCATCTAGTAGTTCCTTTTTAAATAAAAATAAAAATACTACTTTATTTATTTATTTATTTCGGTTTCTTCTACCCCGCCCTTCTCACCCCGAAGGGGATTCAGGGCGGCTTACAAAAGCAAAGGCACAATTTGATGCCCACATCACAGAACAATCAAAACACAAAATTACATCAAATTCACAGTTAACAACAATTCATGCATTATACCAATAAAATCAATAAAATCAATAAAACCAATACAAAACCAATTCCTCCTCCTACACGGTCAGCGTTTGCTATCTCATAGTTCTAATTTTCAATTCCACTTCGTAAGTCCTGTTGGTCTTAATCGTCTGATTGTCTTATTTAATTGTCAGCTTGCCCAAAGGCCTGGTCCCATAACCACGTCTTCACCCTCCTCCTGAAGGAGAGGAGGGACGATGATGCCCTGATTTCCCCCGGGAGTGAGTTCCACAGGTGAGGGGCCACCACTGAGAAAGCCCTGCTCCTCGTCCCCACCAGCCTCACTTGTGACAGTGGTGGGGTCGAGAGCAGGGCCTCCCCAGATGATCTCAAACTCCAGGGTGGGACGTAGAGGGAGATACGTTCGGACAGATACACTGGACCGGAATCATACTTCAATTTTCCCTCCAAATTAAACTAGTATAAAGTGGTAGAGCTAAAAAAAAATTTGTATATTAAGTGCTGATATGTAAGGCTAGCAATCTATAGCTGGGAGCCCCCAGTGGTGCAATGGGTTAAAACCCTTGTTCCAGCAGGACTGCTGACCAAAAGGTCAGCAGTTCAAATCCAGGGAACAGGGTGAGCATCCATCTGTCAGCTCCAGCTTCCCATTCAGGGACATGAGAGAAGCCTTCCACAGGATGGTAAAACATCCATGCATCCCCTGGGCAATGTCCTTGCAGACAGCCAATTCTCTCACACCAGAAGTGACTTGCAGTTTCTGAAGTCACTCCTGACATGGAAAAAAAACCCTATAGCTTTCTTTTGGAGCATGTAGATGGTTAAAGCTGAGAAAATCAAATGTAACTAATGTCTTGTTATGTATTGGCGCTTCTGTTTTCCTGGTATTACTCAGCTTGAGTTCTATGAAGGCGGCTTCTTGAAAATGAAATGCATTTCATTTCAATTGTATTTCCAAATAATGTGTTCATCTTATTTATATTTATTTGGAAATATGTATTGTTGATTCCACTGGGATTTATATCTCAGTGAAATATCCCTCTTATGCTGCACTGCCCTAGATACCCAGTCCTGCCAATCAATTATAAAAGTTTGAAACAGTTTACTTAATCTCCGATTGCAAACAAAAAGAAAATGTAATATGCTGATTTTTCCTTATTCTTCTTTGTGTAGTTGCTGTTTCCCAAACACAGTAAAGTATCATTAGAGGATATTATCTGAAACAAGGCAAAAATAATTTCACATATTAAATTTTAAACTCATTTTGAGTCTTTATTAGCCAATACAAATATGGAAACAATATGTGCAGAAGGTACAGGGTTAAGAATCCCTCATGTGGTAATCCAAATTTTGAAATGCTCCAAAATTGTCCACATGGGCAGTCAAGATAATGACACCTTTGCTTTCTAGTGGTTCAGTATACACAAACTTTGTTTCACGCATAAAATCATTAAAATGTGCATAAAAAGACCTTCAGCCTATGCGTGTAAGAGGTGTCTTTGAAAAAAATTGTGTTTTGACCTGAATCCCATTTCCACGATAACTCATAAAGGTAAAGGTTTCCCTTTGACATTAAGTCTAGTCAAGTCCGACTCTGGGGAGTGGTGCTTATCTCCATTTCTAGGCCGAAGAGCCAGCGTTGTCCATAGATACCTCCAAGGTCATGTGGCCAGCATGACTGCATAGAGTGCCATTACCTTCCACCAAAGCGATACCTGTTGACCTACTCACATTTTTGTGTTTTTGAACTGCTAGATGGGCAGAAGCTAGGGCTATTAACAGGCACTCACCCCATCCCGCGGATTCAAACTGCTTACCTTCTGGTCAACAGGTTCAGAAACTCAGGTTAAGATAACTCATATGTACTATATACAAATATTTCAAAATCTGAAAAAATCCAGAATACTTCTGGTCCCAACTATTTAGGATAAGGGATACTCAACCTTGTATGGACTTCACCATAAGCTTCTAAGATACTTATATGTTCTCCTTTTATTTTTCAGGCTGTTTCTTTCATAACTGTTTCACCAAACCTCTGCCAGTGTTGGGGTTTGTGTGATAGTGTTAGGCTGTTTCAGTTGCCACATTTAATATACATCTTCCATCTGAAGCACAATACTTTAGTTTCCACAGTGATTCTGACTTGAAAGTCAGATTAAGTAATATGAATCGCTATTGCATTGTCAACACTCAATACTCATCGTGTCCCCATCACCTTTCCTGGCAAGACACCTGTGGCTTAACAACTGTGACTGTCGGAAAATGAGTATACCAGACATATCTAGGATGGGGAAAACTTAGGCACAAACTTAACAGGGAAAAAAATCATAAAATGGAAAGAGATATATGTGAAGGAATAAAACAACAATTTAAGACTAAAAGGCCTTCCACACTACACAGTTTTAGCACTTTTCCACTTTAACCGCCATGAGATATGAAAGTTCTCTGGCGGAGAACCAAGCCCAATAAGAACAGCAGCTTAAAAACAACATCAACAAATCAAACTATGAACCTGTAACCAAAGACACATCTGAAACAAATGCAAAAAGCACAGAGTCAAACACAGAGTCTATGGAAAAATTGAATGGTTCTCTGCACTATACTTCTCACTCCTCTGTCTCAAATAAACTGATGTTATCACTGGAACTTACTTCAAAGAAAGTGTGTTTTGGACTGCTGCTTTAGTGTTCTTGTAGGAGCCTTCAAGAACGCTAGCACATGTGTAGTTTTCTTCCAGCGCATACCTTGCTCTTTTTCACTGTGACGACCTCTGCAGAATTGAGTCTTCCTTGCAGATGACTTGAAGACTGCATAAATATGTCTGTGACTAAGGAATTAACAATGCCAGTTCTCTTGTAAAAACTGTCTGTGTTTATAACCTCTTTGGTTGGAATTCCAAAATGATATTTAGGTTTTTTTTATATTTCTAGATGTTCACACAGAAGCAGTCCAGGCAGCTCTTGCAAAACATAAAGAAAGGAAGATGGCGGTCCCTATGCCGTCCAAGAGACGTTCATTGGTGGTGCAGACCTCAATGGATGCCTACACACCTCCAGGTAAGAAAGGCACTTAACACCTTGTGCATTACGACTAAAATTGGTAAACTGGCTTCTTTTGAATTGCACACTTGAGAATTAGTGGATGGTAAATGAATATTAGTTAAAAATTTCATCCTGTACATCTTGAGAAGCAGATATTGCAAGATAATATCATTTCCATCAGTCAAAAAACACTTATCATTCTATGCATTTTTATTTTGAGTACATTTACCTCAGTTCTCATGGGGACTGAATTCCCATGTATGTGTGAACAAGTCTGCAGCACCAATCAACTTGGATGCTATTTTATAATAATAATAATAATAATAATAATAATAATAATAATAATAATAATAAATTTATTACCCATGAACATTTATGGGTTAAAAAAACATAGTAGGGGGGAGGAATGTCTTGGGAAAGGGGGAGGTATGTAGGGGTGGGTTATTAAGGGAGGGAAAATAAAAATAAAATAAAAATAATATAAAGAGGAGGAAATGGGGAAAGGGTAGGGGGTTTGGAAAATGGGATGGTAAAGCACCAATCAACTTGGATGCTATTTTAAAATAATAATAATAATAATAATAATAATAATAATAATAATAATAATAATTTATTACCCATGAAAATTTATGGGTAAAAAAACATAGTAGGGGGAAGAATGTCTTGGGAAAAGCAGAGGTATGTAGGGGGGAAATAAAAATAAAATAAATAAAATTAAAATAATATAAGGAGGAGGAAATGGGGAAAGGGTAGGGGGTTTGGAAAATGGGAAGGTAAAGCACCAATTGACTTGGATGCTATTTTATAATAATAATAATAATAATAATAATAATAATAATAATAATAATAATAATAATAATAAATTGTTGTTGTTGTTGTTATTCTTATTTATTACCCATGAACATTTATGGGTAAAAAAAAACATAGTAAGTGGGAGGAATGTCTTGGGAAAAGGGGAGGTATGTAGGGGTGGGTTATTAAGGGAGGGAAAATAAAATAAAAATAAATATAATATAAAGAGGAGGAAATGGGGAAAGGGTAGGGTGTTTGGAAAATGGGAAGGTAAAGCCATAGGAAAATGGAGGGGGGGTTGGTTGTACTTCCATTCTATTTTGTAATGATTCAAAAAAAATCATTGGATGCCATTGTTTGACTGTTCCAACTGCAAAGTCACTGACCCATTTTGCATTTTCACATTTAATGTAGCTAGTACCTTGACATGAATGCTTTTATTCGGCAGCAAGTCCCCTTTGAATACAGTCAGCTTGATTTATTAGTAAAAATCTTTGACTGGAACTTGCATCCCGACTTCATGTCCATATAAAAGTTGACATAGGTGACCTTCAGATTCTGAAGACCTGCTTCCCTCTCCCTTGGAAGTCCTTCTCTAAAAATGTAAGAAGAAGAGAGTCTTCCAACGGTGACTGGTTTTCTGATCAGGAGTGATGTGCTTCACCCTGAAATGGGAGGCCTTTTCTGTTGCTGTGCTGCTGTTCTGAAACATTCTCCATGGACAACAGTTGATCATATCTTTTGCCATGAGGCTAATATGTTGGTATATATGAATGAATCTTAACTAAATTCAAGGAGCACAGCTGACTTCATTACAAGTAACCTGTGAACATAGGTCAGCATCCTCACTATGCCTTGCTACATAGTCTGTGGGGCTGTTTTCATGTTCTTATGTCTTATCATATACATACGAGATTCTATTATGTCTTTTCCATGCATATTTAGATACCTCGTCTGGTTCAGAAGATGAAGGCTCTATACAGGGCGATTCACAGGGAACTCCAACCTCAAGCCAAGGGAGTATAAATATGGAACACTGGATCAGTCAAGCAATCCATGGCTCTACAACATCTACAACGTCTTCATCCTCAACACAAAGTGGTGGCAGTGGCGCCGCGCATAGGCTAGCTGATGTAATGGCACAAACACATATAGGTGTGTATAACTTCTATTTTATTGTTTCTTCTTTTCCCCTTGTATAGGATTGTCACACCAATTTAATTATTTTCTTTGAATTGTTCTTTCTCATTTATCAAAACATTCCGAAGTCATTCAGGTCATACTTTTATATGTTTCCTTAAGAGTTTTCTGATTTCCTTTCTTTACCTGTTTAGAGAAGGTTATGGTATGAATAATTCATTGACTCGTGTACTTCCCAAATGAAACATGTGAATGAAGCAATTAAACCTGTTTGATGCATTGTCTAGCTAAGAAGTGTAGTGCCTAAATTTGGTTCTTCCAAAGCAACTGATACATGTTTACTTGGGAGCAAACTCTATTGGTTTGTGTGTTTGCATCTAATTTGGCATAATTCTTGGAAGTCAGTTCCATTGTTTTCAGTGAAAGGTGTCTGTTAATAGGTTTTCTCAGATCAAGGTCTTGATCTGCCTTTTTTTTTTAATTAGGAGAATTCATTATTTCTTACTTATCATTGATTTGGTTTCCAGACTTGTCTCAATGGTTTCAATGATTTTGCTGCAAGAGTTGCTACATCTGGATCCAACTTTCTGTATATACTAGTCTTTATACTGTCGAGACAAGCGAAGTATGCACACATTTTGGAGGTTTCAAAAATCCGTTTAACATTCCAGCTTTATTATTAAGCCGCAAAAATGCATTATAATTTTGTAGAAGTGATGCGGTGATAATAGGAAAATCTGGAATTGCTTCTGTTTTGCCTGAGGTGCAATGCAGTAGAGTGAAGTAGAGAAGCTAGAAACTAAAATAATGTTGGTGAACATTATTAGCTTGAAGTATTTCTATCTATTGTCTTTTAAAAACTCCTCAATTATCTTGGATCAGCTGCCTTCATTCAATCTCTGTAAAATATTATAGTCTGTTCTACAACCAGCTTCTTATCCTCTCACTACTCACATTTAAATAAATGCTCCATTTCTTAGTGTAAACTATTCGGTCTCATTATTGCTTCTCTCCACTTATGCATTGAGAACTATTCTAGCAAATGTCTTGGTTTCTGAAACCGCTGGTCTCTTTATTGCCTTTGTGACTTTCTCTTAGAACACAGGAAGAAATTACAACTTGCATTTACTTTTCCCCCGGATTCTGAAAGGTTGCATTAGTCACATTAGTGTTGGTTTTAGCTGTATCTTTATTAAAAGAATGTGGCATGTTGTTAATTTTAGATTTGGCATCGGAGGCCTTGCTTGCGAGTGCTGCAGAGTTGTGGGGAAGGGAGATGTCATCTTGCTCTTAGGAGATTTGATGATGGTTTTATTTCCCCCAAAGTGCCCCAATGTGTAGGCTCAGTAGAATATAAGGCACTGGAGCAGGTTTTGAGCTCCTTTGTTTCTTGATTTTTTTTTTCATGTCAGGAGCAACTTGAGAAACTGCAAGTCGCTTCTGGTGTGAGAGAATTAAACGTCTACAAGGACATTGCCCAGGGGACATCTGGATGTTTTACCATCCTGTGGGAGGCTTTTCTCATGTCCCTACATGAGAAGCTGGAGCTGACAGACAGTATCTCACCCCACTCCCCAGATTTGAACTGCCAACCTTTTGGTCAGCAGTCCTGCCGGCACAAGGGTTTAACCCATTGCGCCATTGGGGGCTCTGTTCTCTTGATAAAGAGCAGTGAGTGTGAACAGAGCTTATGGGTGTAGCCATCTTCAGCATTAGCCTTTCCACTCAGAAGATTAAGGCAGGGATCTCAGACACTAGATACTGGGGCAGCAATGGAAACCCACATCTTCTCATCTATTGTGATTTCGCTGGTTAATCCCCTTTTTTGGATGCTAGGGTTAGGTGGGTCATACATCTGTCTTAAAAGCTGGCTAATTGGTTTGATACAATGTTTTGAATTGTTTTTAACTTACTGTTTTGTGTATTATTTTAAATTGCTGTTATATTTCGTATATTTGTTTGTACATTGTGGCATTGAATTGTTGCCAGTATAAGCCACTCTGAGTCCCCCCTCCCCGGGGGGTATGAGAAGGGCGAGGTAAAAATGTTGGAAATAAATAAATAATGAATAAATAAATTGACTCAAACTAGGGAGGTTGTAATAAGGTTCAACTGGCTGTATGGTCACTTTGATATGTACTGTAGAATGGAGATGAGCATCTTCATTTATTTATTTATTCATCTATCTATTCATTCATTCAACTTTATCCCAAAGTTGGGGTTAATCTTTTTGTTTTTGGCTTTAAACAACAAAAAGTCTTGAGCTGGCCCTTTGTACTAGGTTTTCTCTTGACATTAAGTCCAGTCTTGTCCAAATCTTGGAGTTTGTGCTGATCTCCATTTCTAAGCCAAAGAGCCAGCTTTGTCCGTAGACACCTCCAAGGTCATGTGACCAGCATGACTGCATGGAGAACTGTTACCTTCCCACTGGAGCGGTACCTATTGATCGATTCACATTTGCATGTTTTCGAACTGCTAGGTTGTCAGAAGCTGGGGCTAGCAGTGGGAGCTCATGCCACTCCCCAGATTTGAACCTGTGAACTTTCAGTTAGCAAGTTCAGCAGCTCAGCTCTTTAACCTACTGTGCCACTGACAGCTCCATGTGTCATCCACATGGGCAAGATTATCTGCTGAAAGGATGAATGGATAGTGCAAGCAACTACCTACAGAGGAACACCTAGATTTGTTGTTGGAAAGGCTCTTGCAAGCTGGAAATAGGTCTCCGCAGTTGGATGATATGTTAAAAGGAAAACTCTCTGAGCTAGCTGAGAGCTTGTGTTTGTTTGAGTTTATGTATTTTTGAATAAATAAGTAAGCAAATCTTGTCCTAAAAAAGATCAAACGGGTAGCCTCAAAAAACCCGCAAGATACAAAGAAGCAAGACGCAGATAAAAAACAAGCCGTAATTTGAAGAGAGACAGCAGAATCATCCAGCATTCATACCAGAATATGAAAACTTTCTTGAACAAAGTTTTTTCCAAGAGATGATGAAATACCGTTAAGGTTGAGGAATGCAACCAAGGTAGTTCCCTTCAAGTTTCCAAGTAAGATTGTGTTGGAAAACAATTTGATAGGACTAGACCAAGTTTGGAAAAATAACTTCCTTTGATCTGGATCTACTGGCATCTCTGTATGATTGGTAGTGGGCTCACAAGGTTTTCAGAGTGTCAATATCAGCAACTTAACATCAATAAAAGAGCAAAATTACAATTACATTACTTCCCAAAGCTGTTGCTACCCTAATTTTTTCTGATGGGAAAAAAGGTAATATTGAGTTGCAGCACGAATGAGTTATGATTTTTAAAATGGATGGACCTTCATTCCATCTTGGCATTTAAAGTGGGAAGAAAGAAGTGTAATTGTTCCGTCCTCCAGGAGCATGGTTTACATTGCCTTTTAGCTGCATGGGATAGCATTCCTTTGCATTTCTCCAGGGTTGCTATAGACCCAGCAGCACCCTGGAAGTTAAACAGTATCAGAGTCTGGAAACCCAGGCTGCAGGTCCTGTGCAGTTATTGGTTTAGAAAGTATTTCTTTGGGTTTGGAGTCCGCCCTTTTTCCTGGGGTTGAGATCTCCATTTTGGAATCTCCCTTGCCTCCTTCAGTAGAAAAAAGAGCCTCAGATGTGCTGTTGGTCAGGCAGGAAGCTCTGAAAAACCCATTGTGGGTACAATTGAGTCATAGATAGAAATTGAGTTGTTAAGAAAAGCTATTAAGTATAATTGAGATAGATAGATAGAATAGCAATTGAGTTATATAGCGAGAGATATTAAGATATTGAGAAAGTAATTGAGTGATTGAGTTATTGAGAAATAGAAATAGTTATTGAGTACTATTGAGCATTACTTCATCTCCAAAACTGACCTTGTGCTTAGATAAGGAAAGACCTGTTCTTTCTAACAATAACAGCTCAGGGTTAGGGTGAAATATCTCAGGAATTTTTCTACCATTTGGAGAAAGGTTCCCTTAGTAATTGAAGAAAAGGGGAAAGAAAGAACATCTCTATGGTTTCTCAAATTGACTGTTTGTGTTGTAACTTTATCAAGCTGTGCCAACTCTGCCAAGGACCTTGGAAATAAACATGTTGTTGATATTCATATCTTGACTGGCATCAGTTGCTGAAAGTATTGAGTTATTGCTTCAAAGAAAGACCCCCAGCAGTTCGCCCAGATAAAGAGAGAAGCACATCTTAGTTTTAATGTTATAGCATCTGGGTGTGACAGCACAGTAATTATAAACAATATAGATCATAGAAGCCAGGAGTGTTCTCATTCTTGCTCCTGAGTAACCTAGAGTACAATTCCTATCCAATAATTAAGATCAGTCTATGGTCATGTTCGTGATTTTCTGCTACCACACATACCCTTCAACAGTGCATGGCATCATTTTGCTTTAATTTGGAGACTTTTCTGGACCTCCGATATAATGTGCAGGATGGAGTGTCATATGAATTGCTCAGAAACAATTTGCACTGTCAGAAAGTATAGAAATTACAGAGTTACCAGCTGCTGGTGGCTGTTTTATTAAAGTCCAGGCAATGGAAAGCATCCAAGAACCATGTTGGTACTAGATGTGATTACAGCTTTAACATACCTTACGTTATTTCAACTTCTCAATTAGATGGGAAGGAGGTGCTCAGAGATGACCTCTTTTATCACATAATGGGCATGTAAGATATGTTCCGTGAAGCGCTTATTAGCAAGTAGGGATTCCAAGTAGCCCATTTCAAGTTTCTCTCTTGAAACAGGGAAACTATAGTAATCTTATATATCTATATATATATTTTAAAAAAAATACTGACTCTAATGTTTCCACTGGAATCTGTTTCTGCTCATTGTAAAGGGTTGGGGAGGGAGAGTGAGAATTCCTGTTGCAAACTGTTTTTTTTATTTGTGAGATAAAAGAGAAAAGTCCAGCACAGCCTGGGTAATTGGAGTTCTTCATTCATGCCCTGAAAGTAGGACAAAACACGGTGGTAACCCTCCTTCGTGCCCACTACTACCATTACTCAGGAC